CCGACTTTTTTCTACTCTTTCGCGAAGCTCCACCACCTGCCGTCGCCAATAGGGCTCGCTATCGCGACAATTTTCTAGAGGCACTCCCAAATATTTTACGGGGGTGGTCACCCACTGCATGTTGGCAAACGAACAAGGAGTAGAGCTCCACTCTCCATGCCAAAATCCCAGGCACTTGGCCCAGTTAACAGAGCTGCCACTGACTTCGCAATAACGTTTAAGCGTGTGAACGACTTGAACAATACTCTCGCGGTTGGAACAAAACACTGCAATATCATCAGCATACGCTAACACTTTAACTTCTGTTGCATGAAGCTGAAAACCACTGATAGTACTGTTTTTAAAAATACTAATGCAAAGGGATTCTATGTAAATGCAAAAAAGAAGTGGTGACAAGGGACACCCTTGGCGGACGGATCGATTCACTTTTATACGTTTTCCGACCGACTTGTTCACCATAAGTCTCGTCGAGCAACCGTTGTACGCCATGCTGACACCTTCCCGGATAACAGCGCCGACGTTTACATGATCGAGAATGGTTAAAAGCAGGTCGTGAGGCACGCGATCAAAAGCCTTTTCCAAATCTACCTAGAGCATCGCAACGCAAGTACGCATTGCGTCGCAACACTCCAGAACACTGCGTGCTTTATGGATGTTGGTGCAAATAGTCCTTCCTTTAATACCGCAAGTTTGATAGGGCCCCACTATTTCTGATATTACAGATTGCAATCTCCTTGCTAAGATCTTCATTAAAATTTTGTAGTCGACATTAGTCAGACTGATCGGACGATACGCTGTGACGTGCTGCAACCTAACTGCATCATCTGTTTTGGGAATTAACACTGTGTGCGACGACATAAAAGATGGAGGCAACATATTCAAATCATATGCTTCATTGAATACCTTGGTTAGGACTGCGGCAATTTCGTGCTTCCGAGTCTTAAAAAAAACTGCACTTAGGCCGTCTGGGCCAGGGGACTTTCCCGGGTTTAGGGCTTCTATTGCAAAGACCACTTCCTCTACGCTGATGGTCGATTCTAGTAATTCTTTCGTTTCGTCATCTATGCGCGGCATAAAACCCAAAAATTCATCTTTAAAAAGCTGGACATCTACTGGACAGGACGCAAATAATCTACTGTAATATTCAAAAAATGCGAGTTCGATTTCTTCCTTATCGGTTGTAACTGATCCGTTCCTTTCTACCCCCGTTATCTCGTTACGCCGAGCATATCTTTTCTCAAGGCTCAGCGCACGCTTAGTTGGCGCTTCGCCTGTTGACCATCTTTCGGCTCTGGCTCTAACAATCGCCCCACAATATCGTTCCCGATCTAGAATCTCGAGTTTATCTTTCACACAAGAAATATCGTCTTTGTATGCCCCAAGCATTTTAGTCTCTTCCTTTAGCAGTATCCGTAAATTATTACGCAATAACATTTCGTTGCTTCTTTCAGTGCTTTTAAGTACGCCTGCACGCTCTAACGCTTTCATTTTTATTTCCTGCTTAAAAAGCTCCCATCTCACACCATACCCTAATTTTTTCTGGCTCTCCAGTGTTTCAACCGCGGCCTGCACTTGGGCAGTGAAAACGTCATCCTCCAACAGTTTCGCGTTCAATTTCCATAATTCCCAGCTGAAGGCTTTCCTGGCTTGGGATTTACTACGCATACAAAAGGAAACTAGACAGTGGTCACTAAAGGAAACAGGGTGCACGCGATATTCAAAACATAATGGTATCAAATCTAAAGAAACGTACGCTCGATCTAGACGGGCGTGACTCGACCCTTGGAAATGGGTGTACTGGATTTCGCGGCCATTCCTCAAACATTCCCCAACGTCATCAAAGCCGGACTCGTTGATTAACCTCAGAAGGCTCTCGGTGCTTAAATCGCGATAGGGCGTTGAGCTGGACTTGTCCCCAGCAGAGCAGACGCAATTGAAATCGCCAAGAAAAATAATAAGGCGATCACTTTTGCAATACTGATGCATGAAATCAAAAAACTCCCGCCGCTCATCAACCCTATTGGAGGGGTACACACAAATGACCCTCCAATCATACGATGAAAGAGAAAAATCACATACAACAAAGCGCCCTGAATCACACGTCGTCACCGCCTCGACTGTTGCACCCAAACTCTGGCGCACTAACAACAAACAGCCCGCCGACGACCCAACCGCGTGACTAACACACACTTCGTAACGCGCTGAAAAAGGTCTAACCATGAAGTTGGTCTGGTCCTCACTCTCGACCTTGGTCTCCTGCACAGCGATGATGTCGAGGTCCTGTTCGACGGCTAGACGGCAGAGTTGCCTCTGCCTCCTGCGATCTGAGAGGCCTCGGACATTAAGGGTCGCTATTCGGACAGGACTTTGTAAGGAGACCATGGGTTAGTGAGGGCCAACCCGCCTACACTGCCGTTCACTGCGACAGTTTGTCGCGTGGTCCTCCGCGGTCTGCGCCGGACCGCTGGTGGCCATCCACTCCGCTCCCGCCCGACACCATTCTCCACCTGCGCTCGAGCTGACGCAGCCGAAGTTCCTGACCAGTCGTGTCCGTGACGTCTTCGAACCAACGCTTCGCAGTGCCCAGCTCGACGTCCATCTCTGGTGTGATGGAGACCTCGTCTGGCAATGGCGAAGCACCAGCTTCGCCGCCGGCGCTCCCTGTTGGAGGTACCGTCGAGCGCTCGACTGCAGGTGGATCTGCAGGAGCCGTAGTCGACGGCTTGTCCGGCAGCACGGGGTTGCTCACTTCAGAGGAAGTGCCGGAAGCGTCGTCGCTCTTGGCTTGTTCGGCCTGGGTTTTCACGGGAGCGGCCGCTCTCTCCGCCTCTTCCTCGTCCATCATGTCGTCGACGTGGTCTTCGTTGACTCCTCGTCCCACGGCTCGGGCGTAGGAGCGGACACAGTCGTCACGCTCGTGGCCATAGGCGCGGCACTCGGAGCACCTGGGAGCCCGGCAGTCTCGACGGATATGCCCCGTCCTACGGCACCGGAGGCATACTGGGGCCCTCCCAGGCACGACGACCAATACCAAGCCGCCTCCTAAGCGCAGCTGATGGGGGAGGCGGTCAAGGTTGACACCCTCCCGGAGTACCAGCCGCACTATCCGGGTGGTAGACTCGGCTCCCTCGAAGCCCGGCACCTTCCAGCGATCGGACGCAACGTCCTTCACCTCGCCGTACTCCGAGAAAGCCTTGCGAATGGTGTCGTTCGACACGTCGAACGCCACCCAGTGCAACTTGATGCGCACCTCTTGCCTGGAAGGGTCCACGACGATGCAGGTGCGTCCTTTGACAGCGAGCCGCCCTGCGTTCACCAGCTTGAGCTTGGCCGCGTCGGTCCTCAGGTCAAGCAGCCAGACATGGGATATCTGGTACGCCCCAATTCCGGCCACCTCCCTGAGGACCCCTAGTTCGTCGAGCGGTTGCCGGAAATCCTCAATCCTGTATGGCCTTCCGGCCATGTCGCAGTGAAGGACGACCACTTTCTTCATTGAATCACCTGATGGAAGCTGGGGCAGCAAAAACCTGTACTCACTTGAGCCAGGAAAAACAGTATCACCGCGGCCGGCGAGGGCCGTTATCGCCGCTCCTTCGGAGCTCATGATTACACCTCCTTGCGCTCGTGCGTTCGAAAATGGAATGACTCGGCCACCGATCCCCCTTATCGCGGTTTTGACGATACTTCCTATTGGCGACGTGCGCGACCGAAAGCGTCGCTGTGGTCGGCCTTCCACGATTGGCCCAAAAGCTGACTATGACGTCGGAAAGGGTATGCCATCGACGGAAATAAGAGGAATGAAAGAACTTTAGTTTCGACGGTGTTGGCAGTGTTGCTTTGAGAGCGCAATGATTTCAGGCTTCCACCGTGCTATTTACAAACACCATCGATCTTGTTGTTCGCAAGGTAATGACGTCACAAAGGGGAACCATAGGAGGGCGCCACCAAAACATTTCGCCGCTAATAGAGCGTAAAGTAGAGAATAGAAGACTCACAGATTACAAACACGCTCGTCGTGACTTGTCCTGGCACTGACCATGTACACCTTGTTTTTTTTCGTGCCGGAACAAAAGTCACAGACCTATATTATCGGCGTATCAAGAAGAGTAACTTTTTACCAAAGAGAGATAATGGAAACGCGACATTTACACAAACCATGCAGGGCCTCACCTGTGAGCACAACTCCAATTTCGCGAGGGTCAACCACCTATGTTCATGTCAGCGAGCAGGTGGCCGAATCTCTCGTTGATGTGACTCACGATGAAGTTCACAAAACTGGAGAACACCGACGAGAGCCGCCGAAACACTCACTCAAGGTTGAACAGACGGTTCAATGTAAAGCGTCTCGTCACCGGGTACAGCAACGCCCTGCGTCAATTTGACGGTTGCTGGGATTTGGAGGCCCGCTTGCAGAGCAGCCAGGTCCTTCTTCTGGAAACGAGATTGCCTCATAAAAGATTTCTCTACCACGTTTGCAATGTCCAACAATCAGAAATTCGATGTCTCGCCAGCTTAATCTCGCTAGTAAAAGTCCTTTTTCTTGAGAACACTGAGGATTCATTGTGCAGGTGTCTTGCTATCCTTGTTTATATTATGAACGTCTAGTTGTTGGGCTCTGCACACGGTTTTTCCGAACGCGTTCAAAACACTCTTACGCTAAAGAAAAAAAAATAGCGGTCTACTAAAATGCGTTTTTGAACCTCCGCTCTTCATTCCGACGTAGCGGGCATCGCATGCGCAGTTTAGCGTCGTCAGAGCGGAGCGGAAAATAAACATGGTCTACTAAAACTCTTTATTTATCGGGGTTCTTGCGCCATTGCCTATTTCCGCGAATGGATCTGTTCATTGTGCGCGCTACTGTCTTTTTCTACTGGTGTTCACAGCTGAGTGACTCGGCCTTTCTTTCCTGGGGGCCCGCGCTAAGTGCATTTTCACCTCGAACGGCCCTGATTTTAGAAGAAAATGTCCGCTTAATGCTCTTCATTCCGTAATCTGCGCAGGCTCTGACGGCGTGGCGCGGCGGTTCCGAGCCTCGCGAGGGCGAAGAGGAGCGCGGCCGCTGGCTATGCCAGCTGCCTCCGGCCCGTGACTCCCAGGAGCAGAACGTGGAGGTGGTGGCCCACGGAGGACAGATCCAGCTCAGGGCCACCCGGAGTCTGCAGGCGGGAGAACCGCTCCTCGCCTGGTTCGGCAGGGAACTGGCCGACCTGCTGCGCCTGCCCAGCATCCCACCTTCCTCGAGGACCGGCCACGGTGAGAAGACAACGTCTGACATGCTGCCGAGTCAATACCATCAAAAAATACGAGGATTGCAGCCTGTCCTTGTCTAACGTCATCACTAAATGAGAACGGCAGGGCGCTTCTTTTTTCGAACGCTCGTCCTTCATCACGCGTTTCATGCCCTCCGCCGTGCTTTGGCTGGGCGTTCGAGGAGCACGACACGCCTAAGCGTTGTCGAAGGTAGCAAGCTCGCGCTGGAGGCGTGACAGCTGGAGCTCTTCCCTGGCGTTCTCACCTCGTCGATGACTATTATATACCCCGTTCACTCTTAAGCTGATACTACAAGTTCCGCCTTCAGCGCGAGTTCGCTGGCTTCCTCGGTGCTTCGGTCGCGCGTGCCTGCGCGTTTACACTTGCGTTAGCGGGGGCAGAAAGCTCGCGCTGAAGGCGGAGCTTCTGGTCTCAGCCAGGATGTCTAGCAAATGATTATGTTGGAATTCCCTGACTCTTCCAGGTTTTCCCTGACAATTTCAGGTGAAATTCTCTGACCACTGTAAAGGCGGTTAAATATATAAGACCATTACAACACAGGGCATTGAACATTGGGAGGATCATTTTGCACGGGCTTAATCCAGCTTACATATTCCGAAATATTCTGGTTCGTCTAATCCCAATTAAATTAGCACTTTCTTGCCGCCGACATGGTCAGTGAAAAGGACACTTTCGGAAACACGATGAAAACACGACGCTCAACCGCGCACTTCAATAACCGGATGGCAGCATGGCCGCTAGATTCACACTTTCAGAAAGTTTCGGCTTAAGGCGTGGATTGGGGTCTGCGGCTTTACCATTTGTTACTAAATCTTGTAGCTCTAACTGGATCTAGCCTAGTGTTGCGACTACAATCCAATCCAAGGCTTGGATTGGATTTGTCGGCTGTTCCCTTTCCATCGGGTAGCACACTCTACATCGAGTGAGCAGAGCCCGCGATACGCTCTAAGCAGAATTTATAGCCTATTTTTCTGCCCCCAAGCTCTCAAGTCTGCTCAATGCACTCAATGGTGTTTCCGACTTATTTTCCCTGACTGGGCTCGCTTTTTGACAATTTCCCTGACAGCTCCCTGATGTTTCCCGGCTATTAAAATTCCCCAGACAATTTCCGATTTTCCTGGTTTTCCCGGTCGCTAGACACCCTGCGAGTCAGCTGAATGGTATAGCAACGTGCGCGACCAAAAGCGTCGCATGCGGTCAGATTTCCACGATTGGCCAAACCATGGGCATTAGAGCATTTTCAGACTGTCAACTTTGATGGTGCTAGTTTCGAAATGCGATGACCCTTAGCTTCCACAGTGTTTTTCTTTTCTTTAAACGCACCATTAAACTTGCCATTGCAACTGTTGGTAAGTAGCCGGAGTAACAACCCGTGACGTCAGGGCGAGGCAAATCCTGGTCGTGACGTCACGGATAAAAACCGTAAGGGGGCACCACCGAAACATTTCGGCGCTAATAGTGGGTACACGCAGCGCCGGCCGTGCACTGTTAGCAGACGACGACACCAAGATGCATGCGTCTGCCGCCTTGCTGTATACCCTTGCCGAGCTTCAGTGCGTTCCCCGGTTGGGGCGGGCCTGGAATTTACCAATAGGGACGTAACGCGCGGGCCTCGTTTTCTAGCTGGTAGAGGCTGAGCACACGAAAATCGCAAACAAACCCCCTTCCCCCCTCCCCCCACCAAGAAACAAAAAAAAAAAACAAAAAAAAACGCCAACAACTTTGGAAGAGAAAGCAAAGCCCAGTTGCCATTTCCTTCATTTTCGACAACCGACCTTCCACTAATCTAACAAGTTTAAACAATCTGAAAATGCTAAAAGTGAAAAAAAAACAGCGCGCTAGAACGAGAACTAGGAGAAGCAAACCAACTGCAAGCGCTGAATTGCGACTGAATTTTAATATAAAATCACGAACACGCAGACCAACGAAAAAAATGTAGTACATTGATGTTATCAGCCATTCGATTCCCTCTATGAAACGCTATCTCGCATGTATACTGTAACCTACCTAACTGATGGTGAGGTGACGCTCGTGCGTGGAGCGTGCGATTAACGTTCTGTGTTGATACTTGAAAAGTGCGCTGTCGTACCTAATGCCTCTTTGATTAATTATTTCTTTTCTTTTTACAATATTATCGAGGCGTTCACCAGACAGTATTGCCTAGAGCTATAGCGTACAATCTAGAAGTCTTAAGTAGGTTTATACTTATTTTCAATTATGCCGATTCAGATGGACATTTGTCCTAAGTTCATCGAAACAGGATCGTTAATATTCTCAACTTTGCACGCAACAGGAGCCTTTAAATTTGTTAGAGCGTGTTCCAGAACCTGCTATGTTGGGTTTATACTACACGTAATATTGTCATGAATTTGTCACAATTGATGAGACGAAAAAACTGAAGCAAACTAAACGTTTCATGGCGCGAACTTGTGCCTAAAACGAAATTAAAAAAAGGCTAGCGTCGCAGGCGTCGATGGCGGCGAAACCGACGGATCGAACGCCGGAGCGAGACTGACTGCGGCTCGCGCGCGGATCTTCTTATGTACACGCGTTGGCTTCTAGAACAATCGGAGTAGAAAGTTCGGCGCGTCGAACATTCGTACCTCGAACAAGCCTAACAGGGTTCTTAAATTTACTAGAAAATTAAAATGAAAGAACAAATAAAAGACGCACAATTCCCAGGAATCGAACCCTTGCCTCCGCACAAAATTCAAGCGCGGTAACCACTCGGCCACGCACGCGCTTTTTTTTTATTTTTTTTTTATTGCAGAGGCAAAATTTAAACAGTCAAAACGTTAAAAATGGTCTACAACACTTTTTGTAGAGCACATTAAAAACCTCTCATCTTAAGGAGAGGCTCACAAATGCCTAGCCAGTCGGGCTTCGGCTCACGGTTTGAAAGAACACTTTCTACTCGCCTAATGAGGCTGAAAAAGTAATATCTCACTTCTTTAGCATTGGGGTCGGCGTGGCGGACCGCTATGCGCGACCTCCATATGCTACACAACCCAAGCAACATAACCAAATCAAATGGAACACCATTGTCATTCGTTACGTTCAAGAAGCGAATGCCGGATGGGCTAATGCACAACTGTTTCTTCAGTGTGCGTTGGAGGACGTCCCAAAAAAAACTGCATCCCAGCAAAAAATAAAAACGTGTTCGATGGTTTCTGGTTGTTTACATACAAGACAGTCAACCGACCATGGCACATAGATTCCTTTTTCCCTGAGCCATGCCTTAACGGGCAGAGTGTTGGTGTGCAGTTTAAAAAAGAAAGATTTAACGGATGGAGGAACACACATTCCCTTGACCCGCTTTAACACATCGTGGCCACCGGGACAAATGACAGCTCTATAAAGTGGTGTCGGGAACAGGCTCATCACCAAGTCACGTGCTAGCGTTTTCTTGCTCACAACAGACAGGTAGTCTAAAGAAAAACGGGCAGATGAAAAATAAACTGTGTCAACAACCTCTTTCTGGTATCCAACAAGCCTATTTGGCTGACCACCATGTGACGAGACAAGGAATGACGGCAAGTGAGGGGACAAATTGGTTGGGATGAACGTGCGTATGAATAGGTGCTCTCGATCTCCTAGAAAAATAAACCGAGAAACGAGTTGCTTAACGAACAAGTGAGATAGTCTCGGCCACGCACGCGCTCGCTCACCGATGCGCGTAATCAGATCAAAATTAGAGTAGCGATTCGTATAAATATGAACACAGGATTGTCGACCGTTTGGTACCGGCGACGTTATGGGGCGGCAGCCATGTCAACCTCCGCACCTTATCTCGCTTCATAATAAAAAAAAAAAAGAAGACTGGGAATAGATAACAAAACTGGCAATCACACAAACTCGGCTTCACTCGGCCCGTACGTAATTTCTTGTCTGTTCCCAGTCTCGGATTTTCCGTTATGTAGTTAGTTCACCGGCTTGCCTGCGCTTTTTCAGTATTATCGTATCTCGCTCTCTGCCGCTCTTGACTGGCAAAACGCATACGTCATCACGACCATTGATTCATGATGCTCTCAGTATACGAAGAAGTTGAGGATCGTTCATCCACCCTCGCATTAATTGTGGCTGTGACTGTAGGTTGCACCTTAGTATTTCAAAATACCCTATTCAATTCCTCCAAACGGAAGCAAAACGGAATGTTTTGGCTGCTCGCGGCCAGTCACGTGCTCATAACGTTTTCACTTAGGTGGAAATCTCGCTCAAACGCTCGCTTGGTCATATGACTGGAATTCGGTGGAAATTAGTGTATTGCAAAAATAGGGAGGAAGAAGAGAGAGGGGGTAACATACTTTAAACAGTGAGTCAACTGTTTCCTAGTTATTACAGTCGTATGCCATTTAACTGTTGCCAAATGGTCAATGAAAGCAGCCAATTGTGCCGCCGGTACTACAGATTTGGGAAGGAATCGCAGCAACGTGTTTTGGCGAATGGTAGCAAATGTTGCCTATTTTCGCTTGTGATGTCGGAAGCGACTGCACAGCTGAGACGATTACACAGTGCTGCCTGAGAAAAGCAAAGCAAAAAAGCACATAACTAATTGTGTTTTTTTTTGTTTTTGTTTTTGTTTTTCAGCGGGAGAAAAGACCTACCGCTGTCCGCTGTGCAGCGACCTGTTTTCACATCCGCATCCAGTCATCTCCCACCTCATGTACCGCTGCCCAGCGCGGCACCACGCCGCCGCCTCGCTGCTGCCTCCTAGTCCCGAATTGAGCCCCGACCTGAGCGCCGAGCCCGGGTCCAACAGAAAGCCGGCCCTGACACCGGAGCCCAGGAGGGTGAAGGGCTTCGACATCGCCTCGCTGACGGACACCAGCCTGGACCTCAAAGGCAACCCCGCGCGGGTGTCTCTGGACTCCTCCAAGTCTCCCGCTCTCGACTATTCGTCCTCGTCGTCCCTGCCAGATGACCTATCCTTCAAGCGGCCAACCAAGAAGCGCAAGTCGGACGAAGACAACGCGCCGGCTTCGAGCGCCTTCAAGAAAGTGGACAAGACGGACAGGTCTCCTGGATTGTCTCCCATCGCCGGCGGCTTTCCGTTCGCCTTCCCTTATTCACTGCCCTCTTCAAGTCCCATCTGCGGTCAGTTCCCGTTGCTTCCTGTCTTTGGATCGCTCTTGGACTCAAAGCTCGAGGAAGAGCTCATCGACAAGGCGTCTGCGACGAGCGCTGCAGCGGCCGCTGCCGCGGCTGCGGCTGCGGCGGCCAGGAGGTTTCTTCCGACGTCCTGTAGCTATCCCGTGCTGCCTTATCTCCCGCCGTCTCTAGCAGCACTCTCGCTCCCATCGCAGAACTGGTGCGCCAAGTGTCAGACCAGCTTCCGGATGACTAGCGACCTGGTATACCACATGAGGTCGCACCACAAGCGTGAGACTGATCCCGCTAAGAAAAGGCGGGAGGACAAACTGCGCTGTCACATTTGCCACGAGAGTTTCCGCGAGAGGCATCACCTCACCAGGCACATGACTTCGCACCAGTGACTTCTGTCGCTCTCCAAGTCGTCATGACGTGTGGTGTGTTGTGAAGTTGTATTGACAAAAACTGCAGCGTACCTGCTTTCTGGGCCTGTGACAAGACGTTCCCCCTTCCACAAGGGTTCTCGGGTCAGCTAACGTTCTAATGTAAGATGTAGTAGCCTTTTCATGCGCTTTCCGTGGTTACTCTCGCATTTCGAGGTATTTGTGCAAAGGACTTCGTCGTCACGAATAAGGGAGAAGTAACAGTCGGCAATGTTTCGTATACACGCGTTCTGCATATTGAAAGGGCTTTTAAGGGAAGAACGGTGGTCGTGGCTAATGTCACTGGATCTTGGGACGATATCTTCAAACTCCCCATGGCCGTTATTTTGGTTCATGAAATGAGAAGTTTCTTTTTGACCTCCTCATTCTTGGTGAGCCGAATCAAATTCGCTGGTGACGGGTAGCTTTATAGAGACGTTTCTGGAATAGCAGGATTTTGTTATCCCGACACCGGCGAAACAAGCGCACATCTTCGCTTCGCCACCACTTGCGGCGCTGGTGCTTGGCGGCATTAAAACAAAAAATCTGTCTTTAACTACGAAAAGAAAATAATATAATTTACACAGATCAATGTAAATCAGCATGATTAATAAATGGATTTCAAGCACAGCGCCTAGGACCTTTATATTGGCGAGGAACGCTTTCAGTACGACGCTGCTCCATAGCAATTTCGGTGCGACTGGTTAAGAACGACCCTTTCGAAGCTTCGAAGATTTGAATGAACCAAAGTGGCGGTTTCCATGGCAACTGAGACCAATCAATTATTCACCTTGCGAGGTTTCGTCGTTTGTATGTTAGTATCCTTTTGTGTCTGGCTAGCAGGCGGGGAAGGCAATGGCGCTACTTTCCCTGGATCCAGTAACATTGGTCGTGGCATCGCCTGACTAGGAAAGCATCGCACGGAAGGTGAAGTGTTATATTCGTGTTATATAAACCACCGTATTGTTAGTTTTACGACATCTTATCTGGTAAAGTTTATTTATTATTCATTTATTACCACTACCTGGCCCAGTCTTGGCCTTGGTAGGAGGGACACAGCGTAACATCGTTGAAATGATTGCAACAAAAATGACAAGACGATGCGAGACATTGAACAATGTTAACACCAATACACCATGCAGTGAAAGTACAGGTATAAAAAATTTAACAAAAGTGAACTCAGTTAAGTTAGAGAAAATCAAGTTTGAAAAAATAGGATAGATTCCAGTGTTCTCACTTGCCGAAAGTCGCTGCGGCAGTCCGAAAGTATCAAAGTTTATTATAGATAAATGTATAATTTCCTGGGTCAAAATAATAGAGTAACAGAAAAAAAATTTCAAATTGTGAGCGATGATTATGCTTCCAGAGTCACTGTCATTGAAATCGAATGTGAGAACAATCGGCATTGAACGAAAGAAAATTTCCAATACCTCAATGACTTCAATAACGTTGAACTTAGATCCATATTCCAACCCACTTAAATTCCTTGGTTTCTTTTTTTTCAATTTTTTGTGTAATATATATCTAGTAGTCGTTATAATTGAAGTTGTACTTAGTGCTTATTGGAAAGCAAGCAATTTTGTATTTAATTTTATAAGTCACCTGTATAACATATTGAATCTTTTTATTTATATGTGTATCCGCTTTAACTAGGATGCATGCACATGTGACGGTTTTCCGAAGTGGGTGGACGCAACGTACAATAGGCGAAAATAATGATTTTACAAAAAAATGTAATATGACCAACAATATCAATTTTGGAAGTTGTGGGTTTTCTATGTCAGGAAAACAGTGCTCCTATCCTTGCCATCAGCTTAAAGGTATCGGTGTTACTCTGACTGCGACTTGGTAATACATGGCCCCCTTTTACCAAAACCAAATGTCCAGATGCAGTGTACAAACCATTGGCCTAGCAAATTATCCTTATATCTTCAGCATGTTAATTCTGTGGATTTACGCCGCCAAAACAACCATAAAATTGTCTGGGCACTGTTGTGAGCAGAAATTTTGCGCCAAGGGGCTCAAGCACTTCAGCGGAACTCACCTAGTGAAATTTTTAAGCATTGCTCTAGCAATGTTACACTAACTCCTTTTAAATGCAAAAGGAATATCCTATGACAAACGAAAAACGTTTGTACTAATAATATGTTGAGAAGTAAGGTACCTGCAGTATATACTTCAGTGACGTTAACATCCTTTGTCGCAGTTTCTGGCTTGTAATATTCCACCTTTACCAGCAATAGCCGGCTGGGTTGTTCCCAGGCAAAGCACCGGCCTACATGTCCCTAGGTGACGGATTCGAATCCCGGCCGCGGTGTGCGCAATCAGACGCAGGCTTATTGCGGAGAAGGCACCACGTCACCGAGATTCGGGTAACAAAGGAGGGCTGAGGATTCCTTTTGACCACCTGGGGAGGTGGTCGAAACGAATCCTCAGTTCTCCACTGAGGCGTGGCAGATTCTCTTTAGCCACCAAACTTGACTGACATTCGCAAGCTGGTCTGTGCTCAGTGGCATGAACTTTTAAAAGGTATTTATGAAACAGTTTTGAGAAAATAATTATCAGAGTATAAAAATTTCTATAAAATTAAACACTTCACATTGTTTAACTGCCTAAAAGGTGGATATGTCTTGTCTACCTCACTGCATGCAACATATTCATGTACACCAAGGGTCGGTAACCTTTTGCAGCGGCGGGCCGAGTCGTCACGATGCCGATAAAGGGGGGAGGGGGGGAGTGCAGACGGCAAGTCGAGAACTGTGTGTGTGTTGGGGGGGGGGGGGGGGGGGGGGGTGATCGAAGACGTTCTCTACCGAACTATGAGGACACTGTCAATGGGAAGTGCTCCTTGTTCCTATCTAGCCCCATTTGGTGTCATGCAGTCCTCGAGTCTGTGTGAGCACTGAGGAAGCGGCAGGGGGGGGGGGGGGGGGGGGGGGGGGGGGGAAAGGGGCTCTGTTGTCGTGACGGCGGCCGTATGAAACTACCTCGCGGGTGCCAGGCTGCCGACCCCCGATATAAACCAAGAACCGAAAATTACTACAAGACGTACCCGTTGTCACTGAGAGCTCAAAGCAAGCACTAGCAGACCCTGACGGTATTATTACTTCACAAAAATCAGCGTTAATTTTTGTACCTTTACGTGAATAGTACTCTGTATGTGTATTATATCTGTAAATTCTGGTGTGAGGGATGCCCCTTGTAGCCAGCCACAAACTCCGCAGTCCGGATTCAATATCCTACCTTTGTTAACGAGTGGCTTTCAACTGTTGGCGTTCATTTGTTCTGTTGGTATCATGAGAGATTCTTTTACCCCTGCCTTTCGACAACGCTGGAAAGCTGGTTCTCTCGCTTTTGCCATAGTTTCAACGCTCACTTTGAGAAGAACGAATGTGGGAGTGTGCTTTTATCGTAGCGGCGTCAGAGGCCTGCAATATGTCGCCCTATTCCCGAAGGAGGGGGTACAGAGAGTACCGGGTCAGTCTGGTGACTTTATTTGTCGTAGGGTTGAAAGTCAATAAATATCATTGTTGTTGGTACCAGTTTGTCTGTTGACCTGTTCCATTAGGTAAACGAATTCTCGCAACGGTTGCATTACCAGTGTGAGTGATCCTCAGTGACACCACGGATTTGCAGGTAAGCACTGAATATCTGTTATTCGAATTTCAACCAAATTGCTATTGACAAATGCTTTTTTTAATAAAGTTATCGGTACATAAATGCGATCTAGAATTCTATTAATAATGCGCTATAGAATCCTATCATAAGGGAGTTTTAGGCAACCGTTTTCGCACATCCCTTACGGTGCGATGGGCCGTCCGGTACAAACTGCGAATATGGGAGTCTTCTGCGCTAGCGCATGCGCAGTTCGTATCGTATCGGATGTGCAAAAACGGTTCCCTAAAACTCCCTTCTATTAGCTGCGGCACAAACCCCAACACGTTTGTGAACATGTCTTCTTATACACGCCCAGTTTCGCAGAATGTCCGCAGCGCATTCCATGGCACTAAGGATGTGCGGTCTCTTTTGTTCTCCCTTTTTTACGGCTCCGGGGGGTTTTCTGTTTTCGCGTCGATTTCGCAGGCTTAGTCAATAAATAGAAGGCTATGATTTGATGAATTTCTTCGCGTTATTGTTTTAATGTGTAAGGCGCTCTGGGAACATCTAATACCATTATTCCTTTGGGGAACGACTTTTTAAAGAAGGGGTAATAACATTTCCTGACTAGTGTGACTGTCACATCCTCGAGAGAGAGAAAAAAAAACGTGCAAAACAAAACCGATTTTTTTTTTTTTTTTTTGCTTTGCTATAACAATTTCATTTACTCTCCCTGGAATAGAACTCTACGGATGAAGGAACTTCGGAACAAAGTCGTTACGCACCAACCCAATAAAAAGAACACGCCCAGATCAGAATGATATCGCGTCGACAAATATTAAAGAAAATTCAACATTTCAAAACAATCACGACGAAACAATCTCAACAGAGAGAGAGAGAGAAACAAGAAAAAGATATAATCTGCAGCCGTTCACAGCGGGCGAAAACGAAGAGAGACATTGCTGATGCAGCATAATTTTCATTCTCGTCGTCCATCTAGTGCATCTATACCAAAAATAAAAATAGAAAACTCTTTCCGAATATTGACTGAGCGTGAGAGCAGCCTTATTAGCTTCTCCCCAGTTACTCCCCGAGTGATGGACGCAAGAGCAAATGCTCGCTCCGATTCGTTCTCATCGATCTGCACGGATGGGCTGCGCTAACGACGTCGCAGTTCCCTATCGGGCTTGAATAGGGAAGCGAAAGGAGTCGTTCTCCTTTTCCACCGCATTGTCTCGAAGCGTAGTACATCGAAGGGGTCGTTTTCCTCCGCTTCGGTAGACGTCTGTGTCATTCTTCATCCGACCGTGGCCAAAGCTAGCCAGGAATAGCACACGCATAAAAAACAACGAGAGCCGTGACAATGCATTTTTTCGGCACGGATTGATTGGCTATAACAGATCACAAAGTTGGCTGCGGTCTGACTTTTAACGTTTTTGTGTATGTTTATTTATTGACGCCCACCAACAGCAACTTCCGATGGTACATATCACAACACAGATTAAACAGAAAAACACACACATATCAAATACTAACAATAGGCACGCAAGGATGCCGAACTTCAAGAGCGTAAAACAAAACCACATACCTACTATAGGTCTGACATTACCAAGTTTCAAAAATAGCTTAGTGCGAAACGGGGCATAGCTTTTATTGGTATGGTTTTTAGAGGCAAGGCATCCTTTTATATCGAAGCGATAGGCTGGCACGTACCTTGCCTGTGGTTCTGTTGGTGTTGGTAGTGAGGCCATTCAGGAGAGCGTCAACAATGGAGCGCAGCTGTTATTTTGACGTCACGGTGCACACGACCAATGACAGAGGGCTGCGAGAGGGCGGGAGCGTAAGCGGTTTACCCCCTAACACGCCCCCACCTCCCTCTTCCCCTCCGCAGCGTAGGAATGGCGCTGTGTAGTGGGGTAGGAAATGCGTATTAGTATAGGGTATCTTACATTGCAGTCAGGCTCTTTAAAT